CTTTCCATCGCGTATATATGAGCGGATGATCGAATAAATTATTAAAATCGGAAAATTTTGTGAAACCACTCTTAGGCTTATTCGACGCGTTTTTGCACGAAACAAAAGAATCTGGCAAAAAAAACGTCGTTCTACCTTGTAATCCGAGATATTAAGCGTTAAAGTTGATGACTATTGAAGTTAGGAAATCTGTCAGAGGCAAAATGAGGTCTATAATTGTATTGTTCCACATGGGTTTCAACTTTTCACGCGATGCAAAGGGGCGTACGACTTTTATAATTGTACTATTGCAAAATCGAAACTCTCGTGCATTTTTTCAGACAGAATAAGCTAAAATGAGCCAGAAATTAGATTCGACTCATAGTGGTTCTATCATATTTCGGCATATTTCGGCGTAACAACAAAATAGCGTAAAAAGCATAAAGTGACTAGACAGAAACTGATGTTCAAGTGAAATAATATGATTGGTCGCTTACGCAAGTTACGCCGCATGTGATGGCACCCTAAGTATTTATACAGGGTGACCCGTTTTAACTTAGACAGCCAAATAACTCGAAACATCGCGATTAAATAAAAAAATGTTTAAAACAAAAATTGTTGGATATGAAGGGGCTGATTGAACTATGACCTTGACAATGATCTTGACCTTCATTTTCAAGGTCATTTGAAGGTCAAGGTCATTTTTTTAAATGGGAAGCCCCATTTTTCGTTGAATATTCTTGTAGCTTATCTCGAGAGCTTTCCAAAACACTATAATAAAATATTTTTTCATTAAGTACTTCTCGAGTTATAAGGCTCGAATGTTACAGTACCGCCGCCGACATGCTACCACAACGCTAGATGTCTTTTGCTAAAGTTATACATTTAAAAATTAAAATTATAAAACGTAGACGTTTCGGTCAATATTTGACCATCCTCAGTACATCCCAGGTAGCAAGCTACGTCATTTTGACGTCGTTTTGACGTCAAATGACGTCTTTCTGACATCAAATGACGTCATTTTGACGTCAGCTTGCTACCAGGGTTAGAATAAGTTGCTACGCAACAAAAACAATTGAAAAATTTCAAAAGTCCAAATGAAAGATAGATACGCTTATCATTCGCTAGTTTAACATTAAAAGCGCCGAATACATGAAAAATAAGATGCGAGATTTCATTAAACGAAAATTTTCCTTATAAAGTTGTTAGATAAGTCTTCTATGTGTTAAGTTGTGATTTACATCATAGTTCAGCAATCGTTTAGCACATATATAAGACTTGTTTAACATAAAATCTTTCCATTTGTCAGAGAGGGTTTGGAGTCTTTAAATACTATGGAATTGACGAACCGTGGGGTCCTCATCTCTGCTGTGACACACATACACACACACACGCACGCACGTATCAGAGAGGGTTTGGAGTCATTAAATACTACGGAAGTAAAAAATAGTCCTCACTTCTACTGACACAATCGCACGTACATTCGACTAAATCTAGATCTTTCAAGGCTTGTAGCGCGGGAACGGCTCATAGGATCATGATGAGCCTATTGAGACATTTGTTCAGAATGACGAGAACTACAACATATCCAAAAATGAGCCAAATCCGCCGAAAGACATTTTCGCATAAGAATGGTGCGGGGTCCTTTAGTACCTTTAAATCCTTTAATGCACTATAATTAAAAACTATCCGTTATTAAGTCTTGTTATTAAGTCCGTTATTAAGTCTGGAACACGCAGCGGTCATAGCGCCATCAGTGGGAGATCCATCTTTTCCCGCCTTATCACAGGCATGGTATGTGCAGTGGTGTACAGGCGTGTGAGCCACATGCCGTATAAACACCAGTATAATAAATCCAAGGTAATTCCCTATTTTTTTTAACGTATATTTAGAAAAAATATAGAATAAAGTATGCAAAATTAATTTTGTATTTATTTATTAGGTGTACAGCTTTGCTTCCGCCGTTTTTTTCCGAAATTCGAGGCTTTATTGTAAAAAACTGGTTATACATATATGATTTAAAGTATTGTCCATCGCTGGCCACTTATACTTTCTCCCATCTTCCGGGCAGCGTACGAATCCCGCGTCGAAAAAACTGGTCATCTTTTGAGGCGATCCACGAATCGATTCAATTTTTTACTTCTTCATAAGACTGGAAGTGCTGGTCAGCCAAGCCTTGTGCCATTGATGGAAACAAGTGATAGTCAGAGGAAGCAACGTCTGGAGAATACGGAGTGGGGTAGGATTTCCCATTTCAACGTTTCCAAGTATGTCTTGACCACTTTCGCAACATGGGGTCGAGCATTGTCATGCTGCAAAATCACTTTATCGTGTCTCTCGTTGTATTGCGGCCGTTTGTCTTTTTTAATGCTCGGCTCAAACGCATCAATTGCGTTCGATACCGATCGCCTGTCATTGTTTCAATCGGTTTTAACAGCTCATAATACACTACGCCAAGCTGGTCCCACCAAATACAAAACATGACCTTGGAGCCGTGAATATTCGGTTTGGCTGTCGACGTGGAAGCATGGCCAGGAACTCCCCATGATTTTCTGCGCTTGGGATTATCGTAATGAACCCATTTTTCGTCCTCAGTCACAATACGATGCAGAAATCCCTTCCGTCTTTGCCTTTCAAGCAACTGTTCACAAGCAAACAAACGCCGTTCAACATCTCTCGGATTCAACTCGTACGGCACCCAATTTCCTTGCTTCTGAATCATTCCCATGGCTTTGAGGCGGTTTGAAATGGTTTGTTGAGTCACTCCCAATGATCGTGCCAATTCTTCTTGATTTTGACGCAAGTCTTGATCAAGTAATGCCTCCAATTCTGCATCTTCGAAAACCTTCTCTCTTCCACCACTATGCCGGTCTTCGACGTCAAAATCACCGTTCTTGAAACGTTGAAACCACTCACGACACATTCTTTCACTGATAGCGGCCCCACCATAAGTATTTGAGAGCATTCGATATGAGCCTCAGCCGCAGATTTCTTCATATTGAAGCAGAAAATTAAAACCTCCCGCAAATGACGAGAATTTGGCTCGTAAACTGATATTTCCAATCGAGAATAACTTTATGATGCAGACACAAATCGACTAATGTTTCTATGGGGTTATGTTGACAGAT